CTCTGCAAAGCGTTTCTGAAAGGTGAACAGTCCCTCGTCTTCCCTCCCACTTTTGAAATGTGACAGATAAAATCCATCTCAGTTTAAAAATTGAGAGATGTGTGTGTGTGTGTGTGTGTGTGTGTGTGTGTGTGTGTGTGTGTGTGTGTGTGTGTGTGTGTGTGTGTGTGTGTGTGTGTGTGTGTGTTTCGTGTCAGAGAGCAGGTGGGATCTCAGTGTGAGCCCGTCTTTTCACAACCTCCTCGGCCTTTTCCTCTCCTCTCATCTTCCCTCCAACTTGACTTTTATTCTGCGCTGAGCACAAATGCTTCTGTAGATGTCTTGACCCCTGTTTTTATGGAGGGTGGGGGTCTTCTGCCCCATGCTCCACCTGCATATACACACAAAAACACTCACAAAGACACTCCTCTTGGTCCTTCAATAACACTGATAGCACTGCTCCCTCCCCACTAACAGTTAACGCTGTGGAGAAATGAAATAACCCTTGAAATAGTGTGAATGAAAAGTGATGCAGGTGTGATGGTGGGCTTTGTTTTTCAGTTCTAAGGTGAATGATAAGAGCAGAGAACATAAATAGAGAGAATAAAATGATTCTGCTTCGTCACAGTTTGGAGGTGATATGAGTGAACAGGGCACAGAGAGTTGGAATGATATCAACACAATGATTGTTAAAGTGGGATTTGAGCTGATTTGAATGGACGGAGATAAGCACATCAGAATAMATCAGGCTGAGGAAAGCAGCTTTAAGACTCAACAAAAACAGCCACTATAATTGTTCTCATGAAGAACATAAACATTCCTCCATCTGGGAACTACTTTTCAATCTCAGTTTTAAAAGGTTTATGTAAAAGTGACAAATGTTTTACATTTTATCCATCTCACATTACGTTCTTACTAAACTAAATAACTTACTAAATCACTCTCAGCTACCATGCCAAAAGTGAACTTAATGTTTTAAATCAGTTTAACTCCAAAAGTTAATGAGTTGGAGGAATAAAACCAGTATTTTTTTCCCCTGAGAGTTTCACTAAAATCCATCCTTTGGTTAAAAAGTATAAAAGACTCAGAAAGTGTGTGTGAATTCTTTTGTGATGGCCACAATGGGTATCTCCACATATCGGGTTCTGCTTCGTCAAATGCAACAGGTAGTTGCAAATCCTCGTCATCTTGGATTTGTAACAAAGTTAATGCTCACTCACAACCAACTGTTTCAGACCCTTTTATTTTTTCATTTTTTGCCTCAGCGCCCAAGAGAGCAGCAGCTCGTTGTCTGAAAAGACTTAAGAGAAAGGAGAGAAAAGGGGCAACGTTGACATTTCACCCCTCGCCCAGTCCCTTGGTCTAATTAGGTTGTGTTGTTGCTTTAACCTGCTGTTCAACTGATTGGGCTGCGGTGGAGGGGTTAATGAGGGCAACCCCTCCCCCACAAAGTTCTTGTAACTTACGAGTCCGAGTAACTCCATAACGCACTGTCAACTTGATAAAATTCACACACACACTCACAGATACCATGCTTACCTCTTTCAGAAATGCTCAGCATGATATTACCTCCCCCACTTCCACACACACACACACACACACACACACACACACACACACACACACACACACACACCGCACCCCATGACACGACCCTCTCCCACTCTCACCCAATTGTTGCGCTGCTAACAATAAAAGGCCTTCAAGCCTTTTTCCCCCACAAAAAGAGAGCTTTTGTTCAAATGAAACACTTAGTGTTGGCCTAAATTGAGGGGGAGGAGGAATAAGTCATTGGGGAGAGTTTTGGCAATGGTGGGTTTTGGTGCACCATAACTGGTGCTCATTTGTAGCTCCTTGATTAGCCTTTAATAATTTGTAGATAGAGTAGGTCATTCATCAGCCAAGTCAGCACTTCCTAAGTAAAAGTAACTTTCCACCGTCTCATGTGCCAGAGTTTTAAAAAGATCTTCTTGGATCTGTCGCTGCTTACGTGTTGGGAATAACAACAATAAAATCATCTTATGTTGAGAAATTATGGCATTACAGTCAATTTGGTCCAGCCTAAATAACAGATATAATGAAATCTGACTCAGTCTGTTAGCACTTAAACCTCTCTCAGCTATCACCACGTCACATTTTAGCTTAGCATCTACTAAAGTGACTTAAGTTGTATTTGTTCGTTTACGTTTATCAGATGTATAACTGACAAAAAATAATTACTCCAAATGCCAAAATTTTAAGCAAAGATGTAAATCAATATGTAAATCTCAAAGCTTATGTTGGGGATGATGCTCAACTACCAACATCCAAATTTTTTGTGTTGGTTAATGTTGGTTAGCAGTGGTGGCCGTTTGAAATTGGGTTTATTCCAAAAGTTGAGAAGTTGTAAACTCCCAGAAAACAATCTCTTTCTGGGAGTTTCATTAAAACTTGTTCATTGGGTCATGAGACATTATGCTAAAAGACAATAAATTATACAGAAACACCAGCATGGCTGCCCACCCATCATAGTGGTGGGCTTTTTGTTACAGGGGCAATATCATGTAAAATCAACTTTTTT